ACTCTTAATCCAACATGGAGCAAACGGGCTTAACCTTTTGGAGGCTCAGCATGTCATTCTCGTCGAACCACTTCTGAATCCGGCAGCCGAGGCACAAGCTGTCGGCAGGGTACACCGAATAGGGCAGGAGCATAAAACTCTCGTTCACCGTTTTATAGTAAGTTTTTTTTTTTCTCTTTAAAAGTATTGTTTTGTTATCTTCACCTATATGCTCTCGTTTCTCAACTCGGGTGAATTATTGTCAAGCTTCTGAAGACATCAAAATCACACATGCATTGCACACACACAAGAAGGCGGGGAAAGAGAGAGAAAAATGAAAGAAAATTTGGTTTTTTCATTTTATATTGAACTTTAGCCTCTTCATAAGCAAAAAACGTTTGGAGAAACTCTCTCTTGAACCACTTTCCACTTCAGGAAGAAGCATAAAGAAATTGTTCACTTTTAGCTTCAAAAAGGAATTTAGCATCTTGGATTCAAATTATGCAAAAAGTCTTTCTTTCGACCGAAAAAGAAAAATAGATGGAAAAAAAATTGCGTCCAATAGGATTTGAATCTATACCAAAGGTTTAGAATACCTCTGTCCTATCCATTAGACAATAGATGCCGTTCATTCCAATTTTATCGTATTTTGATTTTTCTACTTCCTTTTATTTTTAATTGAAAACTAAAAAATAAGAAAGCGGATTTTTATAATTGTATATTCAATGATTGATTAATTGGAATAATACTATCTATATTCTATAATATAATTCTATTGAATATTCGATCTCGGGTAGTTTTTCTGAAATTTTGAATTTCTGGGCTCCTTGTAAATGACTCATATCACGAGTAGTTTTCTGTAAGTTCAACCATTTGTCGAACCGAAGGCTGCAATGTAAAGTGCCGCACTGTTTTCCATTGTGAAGTTTGTAAAATTTCGGCGTGGACTTGGTATTAATGAATGAAGCTCGACCCAAACAAAGAAAAAGAGTACAAATTTGTGAAAAAATGATCGATCATATGTCTCATGAACAGGTGAAGGATACCGTTGAGGAAAGCATATATAAACTGAACAAAAGCCGGAACACAAGCTCGTTTATCAGCGGGAACAGAAAGAACCAAGACCAGCCTTGCCTTACTCTAAAAGATGTCGAGTCCCTATTCCGAGTTGCGCCAGCTGGCTGTACGGAAAATCAGACGAGTGTTAACCGGAGAGGTTTGAGGGATCTTCCAGCTTCTGTAGCGGCTGCCATTGCTGCTGAAAGAAGATTAATGGGGATTGATGGTAGCAATGCCATTGATGAAGATGCGGAGCGAAATTAAGCCGAAGATTGACCGGTCAACTCAATCGGCCACACGAATATCTCGAGACGAATGGGCTCGGTCTTGCCACGTTGGCGCTGTGTGGTTCTTGTTACAAACATGACATCATTTATTTTATTTTTTTAACAAGTGGAATATTTTCATTGGGCTGGCAATTAAGATTTTTAGTTTGTATATTCTAACGAAACCTTTGTATATCTTCTAGGAAATTACATTCTTTTCGACCAATCCCACAAAATGCAATTATGTAATATTTATTTAATTAATTTTTTTATCTGTATTATAGATGTAAATGATACATGTGAAGCCCAAGCCCCCTGATTAACAGAAAGATCCCACAAAATGCATGCTAAGAAGGGGAAGCAATAAATCGATAATGTAGTATAACTGGGGTGAGCGTGGGTCGGTACGGTTAGGAGATTGATAAATCTCCAGAACCGTACCAAACTTCGGAGATCCCAAAATTCGATCTCCGGAATCGTACCAAAAATTCGGTTCGGTTCGGTATTCGGGGCAATTTGGACGGTTCGGTTCGGTATGGTTTGGTTCGAATTTTTGGAGATTTTTTATTTTTTTAATTAATTTTTGAATGACTACATAGTTATATTTCAATTTTTATATGCTTTAAAAAAATAACATTCATCAATACTTCATCATATTGAAGATTTTATTTTGAAATCAATTCTAGAAGTAACTCTAAATTTTAGTTATTTAATTTTTATATGCTTTAATAAAACCAACATTCATCACTACTTCCTCACATTAAAGATTTTATTTTGAAATCAACCTTATAAGTAACTCTAAATTTTAGTTATAACTAAAATTTGTGCAACTAATATTGAAAATTTAAAATTCAAATAAAATATAATATTTTTTTCTTACAAAAATATTTTTAAACTTTCATATTATTTTAAATAATTATTTTGTAATAGAAAAAATTCAATTGTAGATCAAGTATTACTAAGAATAAAATTTAAGTGAATGTTAATATTTATTACTATATTATATAGAATCAAAGTTGACATAAAATATATTAGTAACACATTTAATGTTATAATTCGGTTCTTAATTTCGGTTCTTCGGTTCGGTACAGTTCGGTACAGTACGGTACGGTTCGGTCGGTTCTCGGTACGGATATTTGTGAAATCTTCAGAACCGTACCAATTATTGTTTCGGTTCGGTTCGGTTCGAATAAAGTCAAACGGTCAACGGTTATTTTTCGGTTCAGAGTTATTTCGGTTCGGTTTTCGGAACAGTTCAGAATTCTCCGAGTCCCATGCTCAGCCCGTAAGTATAACCAAAGTCTCACATCTTTTGTACTTTGAAAATTAAAAGATCCCAAATTTCTCAAAAATCACGTGTATTTTCTTAAATCCCACAACGAAATTAAAGCCCTTTTTCAAGATCAGCTACTCTTAGCTCACCAGAGTCTTTCAACAGAACTTCCAATGGTTCCCACAATTTACGCATGTCACGAAAGTCGTCATGGGCTCGTCCGCACTCCTCGTCTGCATCTGATAATAAGTTGTCTCCTTCTTCTTGCACCGTCCACACCTGAACTCGTTCGTGCTCGCCTTTGGAGCCGCTGCCCGCTCGCTGTTGAACAACCCTTTCTGCTTGAGCTTCTCGTTTTCCTCCCGACGCTCGTCGCTCGCCATCTGCTCTGGCGAAAGTTCCGGCACAGCCCGAGCCTCGAACTCCCCGAACAGAACCTTTCGCCGGAAGTCACGGTTTTTGGGGTCTTTTATGTTGAACATGATGGACCGGTATTTGTGCTTTTGGGCTCCCTTAGAACTCCCCCATTTATCGAACATGGCCGTTTCTACCATGACCGCCACACGGTACGGGTTGACCCTTTCGACTCGGTTCGCGAGTGATGGGTCGTGCTCGTGCTCAACCTTGCAGAGGGCCTCGGCGAGTAATTCTCGGATGCGGTCACGAGCCGGGTCTTTGCAGTAGACAAGAGACGTTAGCTTCGGTTGGTCGGTTGACTTCTCGATTTTGACTTTTGTCTCGATTTTGATGGCAGACGATCCCGAGCTGGTGGTTTGCTCGATTTTCGGTTCCTTGGCGGGTGGGTCTTCTTGCTCGGGCTTGATGGAGTTCGGTCTGTGCAAGTGGAAGGTATCGGCATTGTTGAGGGTCTCGATTTTCTTGGCTTTTCTGGTTTCTTTGACGATTATGCCCTTCCATATATCAACCACATCGGCTGCCAAGGTCTTGATTCGGACGCTTCTGTGTTGCGTCAGCTGGCGGAGATGTTTGCCGACCTGGAAAATATGAAAAGCCCAGGAAAAGAAGAAAAAAGAAAAACCGTGTTCATTGATCGATCGACAATTTGAACTGTTGAAACAGATTCCAAACTTTTAGAAACGAATATCATTCAGTAGACATATTATAATCTGTTCAGCATTTTCAGTAGCCATTATCTATTCAACATCCATCAACTAAAGTGAAAAATGCAGAACATTGATAGACATCAAGAGGAACAACACTGAACAGAGTTAGTTACATTAACGCGTTAAGAGCATGTTTGTTAACAAAATAATTCATTCACATTCTATTCATACTCAAAATCTAACTCAATTTTAACACAACACCACTATCCTCGATAGTATCAATATAACTAAATAATACAAACCAACTATTCTTACACATTACATCAACTTTAATTCACTAATCACCCACTCACATAATTTTAACTAACAATCACTTCCAATCATCTCTCACCTACTTTTACGTCAAATCAACTTTAATTAATTTATTTTAAATACTATTTTAATATAAAATCAAAATCCTACTGACAACTAATCATTCAACCCTGGTTAATCGAAAAAAAAAAACTCGGATTTATTTGTAAACAAGCACGCATCGACTTGCCATATTATTTTACCCACCTTGGATGGTTGATTTTGGATGTTTGCCATGTGTGTTTTTAATGCAACTCAATATGTAAAAATCATTGAGATAGTGTAGCATGACTCTAACATGAAAAGGACACAGAAACATTTGAAAAAACCTTAGTTGACACAAGAAGTTGATAGGTAACTGGGAACATCTTGAGCTGTTTCAATGCATCAAGGCACCGATACTCTTCCGATAAAGAGTTCTCGGAGGCATATGCAGCACTCTTTGCAGACTCGAAAAGCTCAATCAGCTCCTTCTCCATTTTTCTCCTTTCAATAAAAGAAAAGAAGCAAAAACACTACATAAATTCAAATATACATAAAAAAAAAGCAAGAAAAACACAGAGAATCAGGTAGTGATGGTACAATTGCTGCATATCTTCGATTTATTCCTTCCGCTCATATACGAGCTCAATGTCTTCGAATTAACTAAACAATATGAAACTCAAGAAGAATCAAAAGCCCAGATACAAAATGACAACAATAGTATTTGCGAACTAAACTGTCACAAAAAAAAAAAAAANNAAAAAAAAAAAAAAAAAGGCTCAAACTTGTTCGAATTAACTAAACAAATTGAAACAAACCAAGAATCAAACACCCATATGCGAAATGAAGGCAATAATACTTACAAACTAGCAATTTTTCTTAATAAAAAAGGGGGGTTCTTTGTGAGAAATTATAAGAAATAAACACAAAAATGGGAAGCGAAAAAATGAATTCTTGAAGCATATATATACCCTTCACTATGGAATTCAGTGCAGCATCATAAAGCTTGGCTTTGAAGGGAAAGTGAAAACCCTTCGTTCCCTTTTGACGGCTGTGAACCGATATTTGTCTGATTTTTGCATGATATCTTTTGTATCAATCTACGCCGTTGGACTTTCGATGTCCTCACATTTGTTTAACGGCACAGATTTTCAGAAAGAAACGAGGTTGTTTTTTGGGAAAGGCGTTCATTTTTTTATTTTTTTGGGAAGTTAGAACAGAATTAACAAAATATAACTGAATAAAAAGTAGATTTAATAATCAATAAGCAAGACCATAGTATTTAAACCCGGGCATGTCTTAGGATCACCGGGTCACTTGTTGAACCAAATAGTTAGTTTTAAATTTTTTTAAAATTATATATATAGTATTTTTGACATATAAATATACGTATAAGTAACAAAAATAAATATTTTGTATATAAAATTTGTACATCAAAGTGTTAAAAGAATTGTATCTCACAATAAATATTTACTATATCAATATATCTCACAATAAAAGAATTGTACATCAAAGGGTCAAGGCCGGGCCCGTTGTTACCCGAAATAGCCCCCGGACCGGTTCCAATTTCGAGTCGGCCAGGTCGACGTGCCGGTACGGGTTGGAAATCAATGAGCAAGACTATTTTGATTATCTTATTAAAAATCAAATGAACCAATTCTCGCTCAAGGTTCAAATCAATAAAATTCATCTCCCTATGAAGAAAAACACATCTAATATTGATTGATTTGTCTAAATTGGAAAACACCGAGTCTAAATTATAAATTGAAACCTCTGAATTTATTTATTTCTTTGTAATTTGACTCGAAGAAAACATTCTCAATCCTTATACCGACAGAAATACTATTTCATGGTACTTGACTCTCTTATGTAGAGTGTATATTGTCTAGGCAGCAATTATTTGGAATCATATACACACACACACACAAGGCAAAATCAACCCAAAGAACAAAATTACTCCCCACACAGAATTTATCGATAAGAAATTCGCGTGTGGCAGAGAGACAAAAGAGAGAAAGCTTGTTTCCAACGAAATCTCGAGAAAACAATACGAACATCGTACGTTCAAAGTATTAATACAAAATACGAGTCCATATTATTTCACAATAACTCTCTGGAGTTTGCACTCTGGCTCAGTAACAGTCATATGACTCATATCAGAAAGATTACCAGCAAATGATTTCACATCTCTCTTCAATTCTGTTCAGGCTCAGTCTTCTCAAAAAATGTCTTCCTCAACCAGTCAAACGGCTGCCAACATAAAAGGAAAAAAAAAATGATACTTTACTACAACAATACCATCGATGTTTCCTTGAGGCAGATGGACTATGGAATATACATGTATCGAACATAAGAATTAAACAAATCTACATATTATAGCGAGGTACAACACAACCTGTTATCTTGTAGGGCTAACCAAGTTGTGGTCCTGTGGATAATGCTGTGCAATATTCCAAATCAGCATTTAAAGTTTTAAACTTAAATGTTAATTACACAATAGTCAGTTGAAGTGTCAGTAAGGACTTCAATGCTCTAAACAAGAAAACTCAGTCATCAAACTGGGAGTTATACCTTCATACAAACACTCGACTACAAAAACAAAATGTTGAACACAAAACTCTGACATTTGCTTTAGATCGGAAATATTATGGCACAAATCAGCATATTCCACTTCCCGCCTTACTCAAAAAAAAAAAAAAAAAAAAGAACTTTGATCTGGAGCTACGCAAACTCCTAATAAAACAACTAGAGAAAAAGTATAAAGTAGAACCGGAAGTAAACAATACACAAACCATTCCATGGCACCGTTAAGCAACTATAAAGATTTGACAGCGGCAACTCAAAAATGTATATTGATCATCTTGTGTACATTACGACATAGGCAGCTCAAAATAAGCTACATATCTTACAGAGGCAAAAATTGGCATGAAGCGTTAAAAAAAAAAAAATGGAAGCAATTCTTCTCACCACCCATTACACTTTGTTGGGGGGGGGGGATGTATGCATTTCTTGTGATTTTAAGAATCCGGGTGTTTTTCTGAAATTTTAGAAAGTCTTGACAAATGACGAGGTATTGGGGGGTATTCATTTCTTGTGATTTTAAGAATCCTGGTGTTTTCTTTTGAAATTTTCAAAAGTCTTGGCAAATGACGAGGTATTCAATTGAG